TGAGATAGTGGAGCCTCTTTAAGCTTGTCTATGGTTTTTTCTATAGCAGCTCGTAAAGGTACCTCATTGCTGAGCGTCTTGCAAGTTTAAGACTCCTGCAATCTTCACTGACTGGCTGACTACTCATCGCAGGTCTTTAGCAGATAGAGCACTTGCCTGAAAAGGGCGACATCGATGAGAGTCGCACGTGGTCCAACTTCTTGGGTTCTAGGCCTTTTCTCATGGATTTTTCCTAATGCCAGCATCACTGACCACCTCCTGCTTAATTCTAATGCTGCCATTTAATCGTAAACTACGCCATAAAATTCGGGCGCTCTGAGTTGTAGTCTACTTCATTTCAAAAAGCAATATGAGCCATAAAATTTTTTGTGGACCAACTTGAAAATGGCCCCTGTCCCAAAAGTATAAAGCACCTTAGGCAGGAGGACATGAAGAAATTTTTTTCGCTGTCAGCTCGCTTGTGATTCTGTGGGCATGTTTTGTGAAAGCACTCTACCTCTTGAAGTGCCTGGGCGATTCAAACTTGCTACCTGCGAATCAGTTCGTGCGAAGGTCAAATGCTTCGTAGCTTCTAAAACAAGATGTTCAAGCAAAATATCATGAGGGAGTGGAAGGGAAGTATCTACGAAAGGAATATTAGAGGGTTCAAAACATGTACGGTCACCAGTAATTTTGCCCCACCCTGTAGGTTGATAATCTGATGAAGCATATAATACAAGTCCCGTACTTCAAGAAAACCTATGCGAAAGAGCCAAGGTCAGACAAATTGAGAAAGGTGCCACTATCGACAGGAAAGGATGTGCGCCTGTACAATGACGGAGTCCCTTGGGGATTGCGGTTTTGCCGCCAACAAAATCGGCGATATAATTATGGGAGTAAGAAGTGTGGCAGGGGTAATGAAGAAAAGTCACCGTTTTTACGCTACCATTTTGAAGAATAGCTCGACGATTCCTGTGGGAGCCTTGACGACGCTGCCGAGTATATTCTGGAATGTGACTACTCAGGCGGCCTTATATGGCTACGATGGTAGTGGTGGAACCGGTCTAGTAGCACAAAACACGTACAACGTAGGCAGATGCATAGGATGAGAAATTCGAAGAGATAGGGGCTCTTGATCTGGCTCCAGTTAACGTCCTAGTGATCTGCCGTCGTGAAAAGGGAGAGACAGAACTTAATTTACCACACTATAGAGTTCAGTAACGAAGTATAGCCTGTGCTCACTGGGACGTGTCGAAGAACTTCAAGCCACCTCCGTGATGAGATGGCTTTTAGCTCAGGCTCGAGGCGAACAAAAGTGAGCGGTGCTGGCTACCTGAGGAGAAGAGAGACAATTTCAAACTTTAAATGACTTCTGCACATCTGCATCTGCGCAAGCAGGGTCAACCCTACGTTGCTACAAGTAGCAACGGGGGGGGGTCGTACTTGGATGGACTTGGAGGGGGGGGGTCGTAGGTAGCACGAAACATGTGATGAGATGAGAGCGCGCTGGAGAAAATTTGCCGTTTCAGCGTGCGTATATACCTCCCCTAGAATATGTAGCGATGGAAATATAGGTGAAATATATAGGGGAATGGGGGAAAATGAAGGGAAATATAGGGAAATTTTGCGGTTTCATGGTAGGTATATACCCCCCCCCGCTCGACGGTGTTTTTTGAGGGAAAAAGTAGTTGTGAAGAGGGGGTCGTATGAAACTTCTCGTGAAGGAGGGGGGTCGTAAAAATTTTGCAAAAAGTACCAACGATAGGACCGACCCTGGCTCCTAGGTAAACCTGAGGTTATGGACTAATTGAGAAAAAGAGGAGCAGTGATGGGATTACCACTCCTCAAACTCCACTTTTTTGGGTTGACCAATCATGGACGACGGGGAAGGGGAGAGAAGGTGTTGTATTAGGAAATAATGCTTTGCAGATCTTTGGATGATGCAGACGGGCAAGCCAGACACAATTTTTGTCTATTATGAAAAGTGTTAAAGGTTTATTCTACCCAAGTGCCAGCCTTTTGTAATGGATTGGTGGATCGGTGAGTGACTGCCCAAATTTTCGAGGTTAGGTCAAAATTTCAGAATTCGCTAGAAGTTTGCTCAAAGGGAGAGTCTGACTCCCTGATTACGAATATCATACTTGTTCGAAGCAAAAATGCCTGGCGCCTGCGCTACAAGCGCCCAAAGTAGTGAGGAGCGATGCCGCCCAAGTTCGTTATTAATTGCCCTAAATTCTTTGTACTGTTAACTATACGCAAGCATGTTGGACTAGCGATGTTAGGAGTCTTCCTAGGCAAGCTGAAATCGGCAAAAGATTAAGCTCCCCAAGGAGTCGTTCCCATGACCTCTTTTCCATGAGTCACGACTACTACCCCTGCGCTTTCAGCTGTCAAGTTCCAGTCAACAAGATCACAAATGAAGGAAAGCATATTGAGCTCAACCCAGGTCCAAGGCGCTCGTATCGACATATAATTCCTATTTCAATCACCGGGTTGCCCGAGGAAATGGTCGCACGTGTGGCCTCCGTCATCCGGAGTTCCCGGCTCTGAGGAAAAATTCAATTTGAAATTATGGGGACCCGATAATCTCACGTGTTGAAGAACCTTCTGTTGACATTCCGCATCAGCAACGCATCATGAAGCTGTTTTGAGTCGAGCGCGCAGCTAACCCGTCGCACCTACTCCATCAACTTTAACGTACGCCGACCCACAAAAACATACGCTATCGAACTAAAGAACTAGATCGTAATTGCACGTACGCAAATTGACTATAACTACGTAATGTCCAAAGGAGTTCCCTACAAGTGCGCTCCTAACGCGCTTTGAAACACAAACATCTCCCACAAGGGAAAGCAATGGGTGACGCGTCGAATTTTAAAATCAAAGCCATCGCGAGTAATGTTAGCGTCCCCACCGGTACCGACCCAGCGTCCCCACCGGTACCACTGTAACTGATAAGGAGCGAGGAAGTACCCTCCCCTTCAAAAAGCGAGAAAGTGCGGGTGCAGACCATACACCACAAGTGACGACGGCCTCCAAGTAAATCTGGTTAGTAGTGGTTCATAGTGATAGCTGATTTTTGGTAAATGATAGTTGTAATTAGTGACAACTGATAGAATACAACTGCAACAGGCTAATCATTTCATTGGCAAAAAACATTTGCATTTTCTGGCCGTCGTCACTTGTGGTGTATGGTCTGCACCCGACACTTTCTGGCTTTTTGAAGGGGAGGGTACAATAGTTTTCATGTTGTTTGAATGAATTGTTGCCGATGTCCCGTTGCTGGCCTTGTAGCACTCTGCTTCCGCAGTCTACTACTCCAGGTGGAAGTTACAGTAGTGCACGTCGAAGAAATGCTGTCAGTGAAATTGCACTCAAAAAGATTTATTGAATGACGGCAAATCAAGGAGTTATTGCTACCGCAGGACCAGTGACTCCACTCAACGTTGACGATGGATTAGGGCAGAGCCCTTTGAAGAGATAATCTGTCGTGCAAATCTCTGTGCAATCGCTGCAAGTTTTGCCAGGCTCGTAAATCTTTTCCCACAAGATGTTGCCACTGAAACAGTTGAATATTAAGGCGGAGCTTAATTTCCTCATTGTTTATTCGAGAATTCGTACGTGCTACACATTTGCCTTCATACAGAAACATGGATGCATTTGAATACATATATGGTCTATGCAAACTATGGTATGGTTGAAAGCTCCCCTACTACTGGGTACCCGACAGGAGGCCCGTCGCGCGGCAAGAAGGCAAGTCACGAGTCGCAGCGCGTGTGTGCGTGTAGGACGTGCAATGGACATTCTATTTAACTTGACGCGAAATCACTACAGTACGCGCTGACTCGTCCGCTGACTCTGCCTTCTTGTCGCGCGACGGGCCTCCTTGTCGGGTACCCCTATTACTCATGGTCAGACGAAAACTCTTGCGTTTGCGCATTTCTGAAGCCTTTGCTGAACATATCGGATGAAATATTAGGCTAAGCGGAATGGCATGATCTTTCGGAGGGCTCAGATGAAAGGATTGAATTGAGATTCCCAAAAAGGCAGGCACCGCGCCCTCCCAGCAAAAAGGCCTCAAGTCAATCACATGAGCACATGGAGCTCATTCGAGGCTGAAGTGATTATGACCGTATAGAGTTTAGATGTCAAAACTAACAATAAGATTGTTCAGATTCTGAAAGAACCACAAATACCTTGGATTGTAGCGGCACACGACTCAGGCGGCGCAACCGACTTCGTTAGGTGTTAGCCCATGCCATCTGAAATGCATTGAAATCCAATTATCAGAATCTAATAGGTAAGAGCGTAGATACAGTCGATCTGTGCCAGTGTTTAGAGAGCGTTCATACTTCGCGAGCGTATATGTGATTAGGCTATTCAACGCATGGGCTCAGTCGACACACTCCTCCATCCCCGAACTTCAATGTGATATTTGCAATTTAATCTGAAGGCTTCTCGACCTCCTGCGGAGTCATAATAAACCCCATGGAATGGAAGAATATTCCACATTTTCCTGGTGAAGACGTGAGGGCATTCTGAGAGGGAGCATTGAAGCATATTTTGCAATAAATCTAGAAGCACTGCTAGAAGTAACTGCATTGCATTAAAATTAACAATTCCCCTCCACAAATCTCTGCCCCGGGAACCAATTTCACTTGCAGATTTAAAGGAAGCGATTGTGATAAAGATCGGGGAAGCATATGCGCCACTCGAAGCACTAGCTTGGCTCCCAAGGAAGCGAAGCCATAAAAGGTGCACGGTTGCTGAGAAAGATTTCGAAAGCACTCCGCCCCGAAAAGCGATCGCCCACTAGTTCTGATGAGGATTTGGGCGAGCTGTGTTGCCAGAAGCGCACAATTGGAGAGCAATTCAACTGGAGCAAACTCGTCCGTACGTCCGTCGTCTTAGCCCCTGCGCGTCCCCGTGCTGAAATCAGCGGCCACAGACTTAAGCCTTTTGGACAGAGCGAAGCGCCCGAAGTAAGCGTGAATTACAATGCTCTGCTGTAGTCACGTACAATGCGACGCATTGACGCGCTAAAGTGCGTGCTCGCCTCCCACTATTCGTTTTCTCTGCGCTCCTAGCGGGGAGAGAATGCGTCGATCCAACCCGCCAACTATACTGAGCGCCGTTCATGTAGGAGGCGGAGGATGGCATGCATGTCAGAGGCCGCGCGCGTAGTCTGGCGCGGCACCGCGGATGCACCTACGTTTAGCGCTCTGCCCTGCGCGCGAAGCTCATCCATTCTTGGATTGCTGCCTTGGACAGCGGGGGTAGCCTCATTGTGAGCATAACCTATAGGATTTCATTGCAGAAATCGCGTCGATGCGACGCGCATTGTACGTGACTACGGCAGGAACATCGTAATTTACGCTTACTTCGGGTGCTCACTCTGTCTAAACGGCTTATCTTCGTGCGCACCCAAGAAGGTCCGTTCGCTCTTTTTGACGAATTTATCTGCTTCTTTTCGGGCATACCATTGAGTACCCCAGGTACCTTCAGAACTATCGTTATCGCTGCCTTCAATCTGAAACTCACTTGAGTGAACCTAAGCGGGGCCTTCTGTCGTTTTGTAAGCGTATAAGTAAACAACATTTCCTTGTTGATATCGGTTAGCTTGATTTCATACCAGAATGATTTTATGGCCTGAAATCAAGATATTATAGTGTTCAAAGGAAGGTTACGGGGAAAAAAGCATACCTGGAAAACTGCGTCATAATAATTACCAGCAGAAACGGTTCCGAAATTTTCGCCAGTGTTGTTGCGTGATTCCGCAGGAGAACCACTGGATGGGACAATTGTCGGCATATTTTCTGTGCCTCCTTCTCAAGATCCGTGCTGTACGACTCGACGCACGTCAGTAAGTATTCTAACTGAACGGATCGTGTCAAAATAAAACGAAGCCCAGGGAATGTACATCTCATTAAATTACGTGATTGAGAACATTAACCAGAGCCGCGCAGTTTTACGCCTGCGGCGATAGGGACCGTCGATGGAATTTTTAGGAATTTTTCTGAGCACTGTGGAATCTAACGGCCTCCTGCTTGGGTGGCAGCAGCCTTGAATGGAAGGAACCGCCGAGATACAAACGAGACCAAATTTTCTCCAGGATCGAAAGGTCTAGGCAGCTCGACGTACTGCATCCCGACCACATGGTCCCGCATGAAGTTCCATTAGTGGATATACTAGGTAACTGTTCAGCCTTAAGCGGAATCGGCGCCCACTGAAACCACCCTCCTCTACCAGATTTCTCATTTTTTCATGTCGGAAATGAATCACGACACAAATTTCAGCTGCTCATCATCGAAGC